ATATAAGTAGGTCCTGCCTTCAAGGCCTATCAACTATGTAACTGGAAGAAGGGAACAGATACGTTAGGAAGTAACTGTTGTAAAACGTAATGCATTACATGGTTAGGATGTTGTATGACGACAGAGAAGGGAGTGATCAACTAAACTGGGGGAGAGGAGCTTAGTTGTAAAGAGGCTTCCAGATAGGGTTGGGTTTGCTTAGATGGTCTGAATCAGTTCCTGGGAAGCCAAATAACAGTAAGCTCTGGAGTGTAATGAAGGCATCAGAAGACCATAATGGGCTATGTGGAGCTGTAGAGAAAATCTGAGCAAATTTCACTGAAATTTGGGACCTGGGCTAAAAGTGGAACCTTGAAAGTTAAATTATGACTGCCACTGCGTAGAGATTGAGAGCTCCAGAGAGATTTACCTCCTGGGACATATGTATTTACATTTGAATGGGGCGAAGCATGAATTGAGCCCTGGAACCTTGGAGACATTCCCTAAATTGTAAAACCTAGAAATGCTAGTCTTATCTTTCCCCTGTAGACATTTTGTATCACAAAGAGTAAAAAACCAGGATCTTTCCCTGGGAGAATTTGTTTACTCTCAGGGATAAGTTTTTACCCCCATCTCCAAAGGAAAGGAGGTCTGCTATACAAGCCTTACTGTATAACCTCCCAGATTGTTATTTTCAGGGTTCCTTGCTTTATTAGTTTCCCATTGCTACTGTCACAAATTTACCACAGACTTTATAGCTTAAAACAACACTTGTATTATCTCATAGTTCTGGAGGTCCAGAAGTGTGTAATGGTTCCACTGGACCTAAGTCTAGGTGTTGGAAGGGCTACATTCCTTTTGGAGACTTTAGGGTAGGATTCCTTCCCTTGACTTTCCAGCTTCCAAAAGTGGAAATGATCGATATTTCCCTTGATTATATTGAGTCCTGATGGATAATCTCTGAAGGGGTCCAGCCCCTTTGCCGGGTCGTGAGATCTCCTGAAGGAGAGACGGATAGGTGAAGGACGAAAATATTATACTCGGACACCTGCTTCCTGAACAGATGACATCCTTTATTAGTTAACAGAAAGCTTTTATACCATTCGTAAAGGGGCAAGACAAAGAAAATTCCTTCATGTACATATGCTTTAAAAGTTACCACCATCTAGCGGTCTTTAGAAGAAACGAATAAGCCAAAAACACTATCTACTTTCAGTTAATGAGTCTTGATATAAGTTTAAAAGGAGTTTCACTTAAACTAAACATAATGCATACAAGGTTTACTTTGATTTCGGTTCCACATCACTTGTCTAATTAAAAAAGCCTTAAAATCACTAAGACAAAACTATAGATTGTACCTAGTGATAGTAGGAATATAAAGCCCATTAACTTGATCAAACAACAGTGGCTAGCATTTAAAGAATAGCTATGAAAGTCACTTACTGTGAAATACATACACTAATCTTTACTCTGAATAAACATATAAAGTGAACTAAACATAATGAAATAAAACTAACACAACTAAAATTATTATGGTTGCATAATTGCTAATGATCTTTTAAGTTTAGGATAATGGTGATTTGGCTGTTTTCCCTTATGCTTGGCAACCTCCTGGAAAACATCTTTGTCTTAAGATAGGCAGTGGAGCAATTATTATTATCCTTGAGGCACCAATTTTATCATTGTGTGAACTTAAATTTATGAACTTAAAACAATCTTCAAAGTAGCTATAAAACACTAAACTGTAATGTAGCACTAAAACATAATTAATGACACAAAGTAAAAACCTTGTTAAACATAACCAGAGCCTAATAATTTTTGTCAACCCTCATACATATGTATATTGATTATGTAAACTTGTATGATATTACATTTACCAATTATGATTAATACATGGATAAAGCAATTATCATGTCTAGAATAGCACCGCCAGCAACTCTCTTCAAAAGAGTCCCAAATTACAGTCCTTGAAGTGCTTCAAGAAAGTTCCCAGGTGCACGGTCCTTCACGTAGCAGTTCTTCTCTTTTGGGCTTTTACGACCTTCAAAGTTTTGTAATCGCCTTTCTTGTCCAGGTGTCTTCGTTACTTTTCTCTTATCCTGCAGTGTTTATTTCTAAAGAAAACTCAAAAGAAGCTTTTAATGACATTTCCCAGGCCCCCAAGGTTGCTTTCTGTATTTAGTTAATTATCATAAAAGTGTCTAATTAGTATCTTATGAATTCAGTGAAAACCCACTCTATAAACGTTTACTTAAAATTTAACTATAGAATTAAGTAAAAACCTTAACGATTAATCTTTATTCTAAGTCTGAGAAGACAGTGTTATAAACCACCTACATAACTCCTAGATAAGTGTTAGAACTTATAATGAGCTCATAATGAACTTACCATAAACTTGTGCTTCTAAAAAACCTTATGTCTAAACACTAAACTGCATAATTCTAAATCAAATAAGGAGTGAATATACTAATATCTTTTTATTCAAGCAATATCTAGTAACTTATAACCAAGTGAAAGAAAGCATTCTTGTTGTGCTTCAGAGTTTAACCCTTGCATATGTTAGAAAAGGCCAGGTGGCATAGTGGGAAAATGGAAAAATGAACCATGACATTCTCAGGTTAGGTGTGAGTACTTCGCATAAACATGCCATTTTCTTCTTCCACGACTGCACAGAATTTCTTCAGCCGTATCAAACAGCAAAGGTGGAAGACAGAAGGGCCTCAGCTTCCCAGGCTCGCCCTGCGGCCTGGGGTCTTTGGCCCACCAGGACCCTGTCAATCATGTGGACCTCCAAGGCTGGTGGCTCCCAACAAATCTCCTCCTCTCAAAATCCTTATCTTAATCACTACTGCAGAGTTTCTTTTGTCATGTAAGGTAACATATTTACAGGTTCTAGGAATTAAGAGTTGGACATCTTTGGGGGTAGAGGCATTTTTCTGCCTACCACACTTACCTACAACACAGAGCACATCTGATCTGGCTCTAGTTCTTTTGCACCTGTGGAAAAATTGGGATATGAAAAACTGGCATGTTTGTTACAAGTAAGTAATACACTTCTGCTCCAGAGACCTCATGTCTGCTTTTAGGACATTTCTAATAAATGTAGATGCTAAAACCCTAACTGGCTAATTTTGAAGGGCTGTGCTGCCAAGCTCTCTAGAATCTTGACTATAAGAGCAGGAGTGATCCAGAGTAGTTCTGAAAGTTACCTGGGACCTTCTACTGCCTTAGAATGGACTGCTTAGCCTATATGTATCTCCTACCAACTTGGCTAATTTATTCAAATTGAACAGTCCATGCTAGTTCCTCTGTGGTTACTTATTTTTCTGTCAAAACCATGTGTTCTAAGCTAAACTATCCTAAAAGTAATCTGAGTGTGACTAGGATTTAGAATTTAGCTCTCCTCTCTTCCCATTGCTGTTTGGACTGGGTATAACAATCCTAATGATCTCAGTTCTCCACAGTAAATGCAGGCACTCATCTTCAGATGTGACTTGTATGCCTATTTCATAATGTATTTATGTGTTTTCTAGTACGGGCTAACCATATGTAGCAGGTCTTTAACAACCCATTTTCCGGTGTCCTGTTAACAGCCACTGAATTGGCTCAGCTATTATTCCTATGACCCTAGCTCATTAATACATTAGAAGGTAAGCACAGATGTGGATTTAGCAATGGTTCAGGCATCTTACTTAGACTAATTTTTGGTAAACACTACTACCATGGAATTAGATCTTGAGGTTTTAGAACTAAACACAATTTCCCTCCTCTCAGAAAGTATTATACTGTTTGCTATAGTCTGAATGTTTATGTCTTCCCCTGTTCCCCAAATTCATATGTTTAAAATCCTAAGTCTCAGCTTCAGGGAGGTGATTAGGTCATGAAGTTGGAGCCCTCATGAATGAAATTAGTGAGTACCCTTATAAAAGAGGCCCCAGAGAGCTGCCTTGCCCCTTCTACCACATGAGAACACAGAGGAAAGGCCTCTATGAGGAAAAGGCCCTTCCCAGACACCAAATGTGTTAGCAGCATCTTGGGCTTCCCAGCCTCTAGAACTGCAAGAAACAAGTGCTTGTTGTTTATAAGCCATATAGTTCATGGTGTTTTTGTTACAACAGTTCAAGCAGACTAAGATACTTTGTAAATATAAGCCTTATATTTTCAAAGGCTCGCTAATGATCTTCAGGAAGAGAAAATTTTCCTTAGATTTAAAATTCAGGCTCAGGAATAGGCATTACTTGCTGTCCTTATATTGTTGCAATCCTTATTAAATAAATATGTATGCAAGAAAAATAGAACAGAGCAACAAAGGAAGAAGAAAAAATTGATGTGGAATGGTTAATGTGTTCTTAAACATTTATGTAATTGGCATTAATCTATAAATTACTGCTTTGCTTTCTTTTCCTTTTCACTCCCCCCTTTATTAGTTTTGTCTTCCCTTTTTTTCCCTTCCCTCCCTCACTCCTTCCCCTCCCCTTTTATTAGCAAATACGATAAAAATACTCAAATTTATTTTCTTTTAATATTATTGTTCTAGGAGTTTTTATTTATTTTTTTGAGTCAGAATCACACTGTCACCCAGGCTAGAGTGCAGTGGCAGAGTCACAGCCACTGCAACCTTGACCCAGTTGGCTCAGGCAATCTTTCCACCTCAGCCTTCAAAGTAGCTGGAACCAGAGGTATATATATGCCACCATACCTGGCTAATTTTGGGGTTTATTGTAGAGACAAGGTCTCACCAAGTTGCCCAGGCTGGACTCAAACACCTGGGCTCAGGCAGTCCTCTTGCCTCCACCTCCCAAAGTGCTGGGATTACAGATGTGAGCCACTAAACCCAACAGATTAGAGTTTTTTAAACTGTAGGCATTAGTCATTTAACCTATTATAAACCGTACACTTCAGTAGAAATTGGAGTATCAGCTTAGAAGTAGAGTTTATCTTTTAAATTTGTTATCTTCTGTGTATTTCAAGGTGGGGGAAAAGGTGGTTTTCATCCCTTTTTTCCTTCCTTCCCATTTTAGGACTTTTCTTTTTGGTAGAGATGGAAACCCAAATAAACGGAATGTTCACAATGAAACATCTATGCATTTGTTGTGTATGGGACCTCAAATAATGATATCTGAAGGAGCCCTTCACCCTCGCTTAGCACGGCCCGCAGAAGATGATTTCAGAAGAGCAGATTGTCTGCAGATGATCTTAAGATGGAAAGGTGCAAAACTTGACCAGGGCGAATATGAGAGAGCAGCTATTGATGCCGTTGATAACAAAAAAAACACACCCCTGCACTATGCTGCTGCCTCAGGGATGAAAGCCTGTGTAGAGGTAAAACTTAGGTTGTTTTTTTTTAAATATTCTTCATTGTAAAATTGATGTCCTGATAATCTGTAATAATCAGTGTTGCTTTGCTTGTCTTGGTAATATGACTAGTCTTTACTTGTCTTTTTTTTTTTTTTTGGTCATTCTAAAGGATGATTTTCAATAAAGAGCCCTTTTTAAATAGTTATTTTATTGTTTTAGGGAGGAGGGAAAACCCCACAGCTAAACAATCAACCTTTGGAACAAAATGGAATCAAGAGCAATTAAAAATTTGCTAACATTTCCTAAGATAATGTCATAAATTAAGCACTCTCATATTGAGAATGATATACTCAATATGAGATTTTAGAAAAGATACATACTGCTTTGCTGATTTTTTTTTTTTTTTTTGGTCAACAATTTGTAAACTGTATACATGCTGGATATGGCACAACTTGGCAGGTTGGGCCCCCTGGTTATATTGGAGTCTTTAAAAACACTTGGAGTTTTCTTAATGCGTTATTTTGTTTGATTATTTGGGTTTTTTTGTTTTGTTTTGAGTCAGGGTCTCACTCTGTTGCCCAGGCTGGAGTGCAGTAGTGGCAGGATTACAAGTCACTGCAGCCTTGACCTCCTTTGCTCAGAAGATCCTCCCACCTAGCCTCCTAAGTAGCTGGGATTAAGGCACATCCTACCATGCCCAGCTTTGTGTGTGTGTGTGTGTGTGTGTGTGTGTGTGTGTGTGTGTGTGTGTGTGTGTGTAGACAAGGATTCACTATGTTGTCTGGGCTGGTGTTGAACTCCTGAGCTCAAGCATTCATCCCACCTCAGCCTCTCAGAGTGCTAGGGTTACAGGCATGAGCAACTGTGCCCAGCCTTAATTGTTTATTTTTTTCATGTTTACTCTGCACTAAAGTACTTCTGAATACATAATATGTTGTATTTGAATTTCTCCATATATATTTCATGTAAAATATATATATTATTTATATATACAAAAATATTTAACAACAGGCTTATATAAATTACCCGTGTAATTTGGGATCTTTTTGTTTTTTTTTTCTTTTTGGCATTGGAATCTCACTCTGTTACCCAGACTAGAGTGCAGTGGCCACTCCCGGCCACTGCAGCCTCGACCTGCTGGGCTCCGGCAATCTTTCTGCCTCAGCCTTCCAAGTAGCTGGAACTACAGGCGTGTGCTACCATGCCCGGCTAATTTTTTATTTATTGTAGAGATGAGGTCTCACCAAGTTGCCCAGGTGGGTCTCAAACTCCTCAGACTCAGGTAATCAATCCATTCACCTCAGCCTCCCAAAGTATGGGATTACAGACTGAGCCACCGAGCCTGGCTTATTATGGGATCTTAACTAAACTAAGAAATCATGAGCCTGGCATGGTTTTGTGCATCTATTATTCCAACTTCTCTGAAGGCTGAGGTGTGCAGACCACCTGAACATAGGAGTTCAACTCCAGTTTGGGCAGAAAAGCAAGACATCTCTATTAAAAAAAAAGAAAAGAAAAGAAATTGTTACTCTGTATAGTTTCAGCACTACTATACATATAACAGAACAGGTTTTTCTCAGCTACCAGTAGTTTTGTCAGTCTATACATAGCTCATAGTAGTTCTTTCATATAGATGTATTTATGTGTAGAGAGCATTTTAGACTGGATTACAGAGTATCTTCATTCCTAAAAATATATACCTTTATTTGAAAAACAGTGTCCTTAATAAGATTAAAATATATATCTGGAAATTTAATGTTTCCTTAATGTTGTTCATATATATGTACTTTATACTTCTAAGTTGATCAATATACCTAAGATGTGAGTGTCCATTCTCTTTATTCATATTAAAAGAATCCAGTTACTTATATGATTTCCTTAGCATTTCTAAATACTATATATACATTATATATATATCTACTAAATATATTAATATATTTTCTTTTCTAGAATACTTGTGGTCTTGTCTTTTTTTTACTGCTATTACTTGTGGTACTTGTAAATCTTGTGGAATCATTGTCATTTCATTGGGTTTGTGTCCCTTTTGCCCACTAGTTAATTAGTAATGATCATTAACTTGAAAGTAGTTTTTTATGCAAGTGTTATTTGTTTATTTTTTTCCTTAACAGATGGAGTCTTGCTGTATTGTCCTGGCTGGTCATGAATTTCTGGGCTCAAGTGTTTCTCCCACCTCAGCCTCTTAAGCATGCACCGCAGTGCCCAGCCACAACATTTAATGCTTTCTAACACTGATTTAGTGTGGTGGAAGGATGTCCTAGGATTTTAGGGGGAGAGGGACTAATAGCAGAATTCCTGAGGCTTTTTACACAAGCATCCCTATGTATCGTTCTATGGTGACTCAGTGTTATTGATGGGACTACATATTTCTCAAGTATGTTAGAATAGAAAATAGATTATTCTTGATCATAGTAATAATGTTCTTAAATTGCTGCTTTTATAAGCTGCTTCCAAAATTTCTCTATAAGCATAGCTTTAGTAGATGTTGGTTTTGCAGTATGTTAACAATGACATGCTTGTTAAATTGCAAAAACCTGAGTGTGGAGTTTTCACCAGCATTATTTTTTACTCAGCAAGGAAAATTAGTGCTGGGTTTATACTGTACGATCTGGTGGGCTTGTTGGTTTGCTTAAAAAGTGTGTGTGTATGTGTGTGTGTGTGTGTGTGTGTGTGTGTGTGTGTGTGTGTGTGTGTGTGTGTTTTAACTGTTTGATCTATCAGCATATCAAATCACATAAACCATACTATTTGATGGCTGTTTTTGTTTTCTGTGTTCAGAAGAGCCCTTTGACTTAATATACAACATTTCAAGTGGAGCCCTATAAATAGCTTACATTTATTTTGGTTTTCATCAACTAATTTCAGCACATCATTTTACCCATATTAAGCTCTATCTTTAATCTCTTATATGTACTTGACTATATTCTTGCCCATTGGACCCTTAATAACTTTTAATTATGCTTACTGTTAATTAAACTAGTTTCCCAAGGAAGCGTATATTAACTAATCTCCAGAAGTATTACTATGTTTTCTAGTACAAGTGCATAAAATAAATATAGTTGTCCCTTGGTATCCATGGGGAACTGGTTCCAGGATTCCCTGCTGATACCAGAATCCATAGATGCACAAATCTCTTACGTAAAACAGCATAGTATTTGCGTATAACCTGTACTTATCCTCTCATACTTTAAATCATCTCTAGATTATTTATAATACCTAATATTAATATAAATGCTATGTAAATAGGTGTTGTATTGTTTAGGAAATAATGACAAGAAAAAGAGATGTTCAATGCAAACAGAGCCATCTGTTTTTCCCCAAATATTTACAATCTGCAATTGGTATAATGCATGAATGTGGAATCTATGGATGCAGAAACAACAGATATGGAGAGATGACTGTACATTTAAATATGAACATACTGACCGGGCTCGGTGGCTCAGCCCTGTAATCCCGCGCTTTGGGAGGCTGAGGTGAGTGGATTGCCTGAGCCCGCGGGTTCAAGACCCACCTGGGCAACTTGGCGAGACCTCATCTCTACAATAAATAAAAAAAATTAGCCGGGCATGGTAGCGCGCACCTGTAGTTCCAGCTACTTGGAAGGCTGAGGCGGAAGGATCGCCAGAGCCCAGCAGGTCGAGGCTGCGGTGGCCGGGAGCGGCCACTGCACTCCAGTCTGGGTGACTGAGTGAGACTCCAACTCAAATAAATATATAAATAAATATGAACATACTGTATAACTATTATTCTTAGTGTATTAGTCTCTAGTTATTTTTAGGTGTTGTCATACTACATTGGTAAGCAGGAAAGGCTTAGAATTCCCATAAAGTTACTATCATGGTTAATTTAAATTTTTCTTCTAAACATATTTCTCTTCATCATTGTTTTTTAGACTTTGACTATATGAATAATGGTTACAATAAAACTAATTTTAATAATGTTCATTGGTAGCAAACATGATACAAAACTTTGGGTAAAGTGAAAGAATGTTATTAGCTATTTATTCAATGTTTTATAAAACTAAGAGATCATAGTATAGTGCACAGAGCACTGGTTTTTCATCTTGGTCCTCACAGCGGCTATCTCTGGGACCTTGTATGAGTCACTCAACCACTGTGGTAGTTTCCTCTTGGATGGGTGGGATAATTTCCAGATTATATCAAAGACCCTCTTAGCACTAATTTTCTATTAGTTTGTTATTGCAGTAAAATATATACCATTTTCAGTGACTAGCCTTTAAGATTGAAGAGATTATATTTTTTCCCCATGGTTAAAGCCAACCTGTTTCTTAACTCTTTTAGGATGTAGGTCTATGTAAATATGTCTTCTCTAGTTGTTTAAAATGTTTTTCTCTGTGTGTTTAAGAATAGAGTTAGCTGGGCTCCGTGGCTCAGCCTGTAATCCTGCGCCTTGAGAGGCCGAGGTGAGTGAATTGCCTGAGCCAACTCGGTGAGACCTCATCTCTACAATAAATCAAAAAATTAGCCGGGTGTGGTAGCACATGCCTGTAGTTCCAGCTACTTGGAAGGCTGAGGCGGAAGGATTGCTGGAGCCCAGCAGGTCGAAGCTGCGGTGGTGGCGGGAAGCAGCCACTGCACTCCAGTCTGGGTGACAGAGTGAGACTCCAACTCAAAAAAAAAAAAGAATAGAGTTGATAAGGCCATTATTGGCATTTAATAATTTAAACAGATAGTTTCCTATATCTCATTATTTTGAGCCACAGAAATTAAATACATATTTTAAAACTTCTCCATCTCCCTGTGAATAATTGTGTTCCATAATAAGCCCCCTTACACACAGATACACAGAATGTTAAAACCCCTTCCTTATTCATAGAGTTCTTCTGGGAACCTCAAGGTGTGAAGATATAACAGGGCATATGTAAAGTTGCATTGGTATCTATGTCTCTGATACCTAGCCCTAACTTCTCTGAACTTTTCATGCCATATTGCTGCCTGGTTGACTTTTTCAATGGATATTCCAACAGTTTCTCAAATTCAGCATTT